GTCTCTTCTCCTAAGTAACAAGCGATAGGATTATAGCAATGCAATTTTTATAAGCTTTAGGAAAACAGTGTCATTAAAGTTCCAGAGTCACACAATATTTTTAAATATATTGCCAAATACATAATTTATTTATTGAAAACATATAAGTTATAAGCTGAAGAACCCTATCAGATAACCTAGAAAAAAATCTGCTGTGGGAAAAGTTGGTTGTTTGCATGCTTTTTTCTCATCATATGGTTTTGTATGTTGACTGTCCCGCAGCCTCTTTCATTATGGTCAGGATAAAACTTCAGGGAGATATTTAAAGCAAAATTATGGCTTCTTTGCTATTAACTGTGTTGTTTTTTTTTCTTGTTGCATAGAATCACAGAATGGTTTGGGTTGGAAGGGACCTTCGAAGATCATCTAGTTCCAACCTCCCTGCCATGGGCAGGGACACCTCCCACTAGACCAGGTTGCTCAAAGCCCCATCCAACCTGGCCTTGAACACTGCCAGGGAGGAGGCAGCCACAGCTTCTCTGGGCAACCTGTTCCCGTGCCTCACCACCCTCACTGTAAAAAAAATTCTTCCTTATACCTAATCTAGTTCTACCCTTTTTTTAGTTTAAAGCTGTTACCCCTTGTTCTGTCACTACAGGCCTTGGTAAAACTCTGTCTCCATCTTTCTTATAAGCTCCCTTTAGTTATTGAAAGGCCACAATAAGGTCTTCTTGGAACCTTCTCTTCTCCATGCTGAACAACCCAACTCTCTCAGCCTGTCCTCATAGGAGGGGTGCTCCAACTTTCTGACCATTTTCATGGCCTTTCTCTGGACCCACTTGAGCAGGTCCATGTCTTTCTTGTGCTGGGGGCCCCAGAGCTGGATGCAGCACTGCAGGTGGGGTCTCATCAGAGTGGAGTAGAGGGGGACAATCACCTCCCTCGACCTGCTGGCCACACTCCTTTTGATGCAGCCCAGGATGCAACTGGCTTTCTGGGCTGCAAGCGCACATTGATGGCTCATGTCCAGTTTTTCGTCCACCACTGTCCCAAAGTCCTCTGCAGGGCTGCTCTCAAACCATTCGTTGCTGGTTATGTGGTTGCTGTATTCACAGTTGTGTTTTGTGGGAAACGGGGAATGATTTTTAACATTTTTCTTTCTCATTTTTCTCTTTTAACTCTCTTTCAGAATTCCCCACTCTACCAATATCTGCAGGATTTGGGACATACAGATTTTGAAGTATGTACATCTGTGTCGCAGAAGGCAGAGCAATGTGCAGCAGCAGAAAGCCAAAAAGAGCGGACTGTGCATGCTGCCCAGAAAGTGAGCGCTCTTCTGTTCCTGAGTATTTGTCTTTTCAAAAGAGAACCACGTTAGTTCACAAATAGGCAAAATCAGAGGGGATAAAGATAAATCTCTTACTGTGTTTAAAAAGCAAAGCAAAAGAAACCACAAAAAAACCCCTGACAAGTTGTCATATATTGTCTACAAATGTTCGGAAACACATGGTTTGCCAGTATAGTTTGGAGTGTTTCTTTGCACTTATGAAAGCTAGAGAAGCAAGAGACTTTGATAATGAATTTTTTTGAGTGTTGTAAATTATTTACTGGATATTATGTTAGCTTAGCATGACATTCTGGAAATAAAACTGTAATTTTCTGGAACAGAGTATTTATAGTTCTAGCCCTTCTCAGGCATTCAGTTGCTAAATATCTCTTACTCTGTGACAAAACATATTAAGAAAGAAGATTTATGGGAGGTATAAATACAATAACCAATCTGAATGAGATAGTAGAATTGCACTTAGGTTATGGCAATTTTCTAACAGTAACAGCTGACAAGGATCATCTCCTGATTAGCTCAGACTTCTTATTTCTCTATTGTTTTAAGTAAAGGCTTGTGAATGCATTTAAACATTTTGGTATTAAAATTATGCTTGAGAACTTAGCATTTAACACCTACCACGGCCTACACATTTTTTGTTTTCTGTATTAAAAATAAATTGTATTTTACTGTTATCGATAGCGTACAGGGAATGTGACTCAGATGAGGAGCTGTAGTGTGGGTAAGGAAATTCCTCTTTCGAGGCAGCTAATGTAGGAATCTCTTTGCAACAAGTGTGTTGAAAGTTCAGTAGTCGGTCTGTCTTCTCCTTAGCCCCTAGATGGAGCATGCAAAGAGCAGTTATTGTCTGCCTACCTTCTTCACTTCCACAGTTGAGAGTTCAATTTTCAGTGGACATGCTCCAACTGTATGCTAAGCCAGGAGGAAAAAGAGACCTCCATGCAGACTTCTCTGTTCTGGCCACTGCAGGCTGAGGTGGGCAGTGCCTCACAGGTGAGAACCCAAACCAAGCATTCATGTGGTGATGCACTGCCTCTGAAGAATTACAATTTCTTTCTCCTCTGTCCTCATCCTCTATGGTAGCTTCCATCTTTGTGCACCTTAGGTCATCTGATTCTTGCCTGCTGTGGCTTTTAGCCTTCCACTGGAGCTTAGTTTTCCTGTTGTTCGTTTCTGCTTTATACCTCTTCAGCCATTTTCAAGTCAGAGGTTCACAACCCCTTTCCTCTTGTTTGTAACCTTGCTACTTCCCTCCTCCACAGTGTTCCACCCTGCCAGTTAGCTGGCAGTGAACTGGGGAGAGCGTCCTATTTTTCCCAAACACAGGCATAATGATATGAGTGGCCCTGAGATCTCCAGGTCTCCCTGCGTTTTTTGGTGGATGGGGGATCACAAAGCAAATGAGGAGAGCTGATGCTTTTCTTAGGATGTTTTCTCAGATAATTCCATCTTGACGTATATCCACTCTCAGTTTTCAGATGCTTCAAGGAATTAGCCAAGCAATAGTCACAGTTAGTTAAGCTTTATTTCAACAAAATATTTTCAGTTTTGTACATGTCCTTCTTATTCCTCCTTTGTTTTAGGTCTGAAGTCTTTTTTTCTAATGGGATTTTTAATCTATTCTGCTCTGTGTAGCATCTTAGGTGGGGTAGGGTTTGGAAGTGTATGAATTGATGTGGATAACGTCAACCAGTTGTTTATTCATCTAGCAGTATTCAGAGAAGTGTTGATGGGTTTTGTTTTCATATAGTGATATTCATTTCAACCACTCTCTGTATAGACTGTATAAGCTTCCTCACACACTAGTTAGTCTGTTTGAAAAGACAGGATAATAGAACATGAAATGTTTTGCTTTGGTCTTCAGTCCTGTTGGAGTCTATCTTCATGGATAGATTGGTCAGGGTTTGCGTTTACCTGTTGGGCAGGCGCGCTGCGCACTTTGCTTCACAGCCTCGATCCCCGGTTTCTGAGACTTGTAGTCCTGTGGAAGCGTGCCATGTCCCCCTTCTCTCGTGTCCCGCTTTCTGATCAAAGATGGCCATGTAGGTAAGATGCCCAGTGCATATCCATTGAGCAGACCAGTAAGTACCACTGCATGCCCAGCACATGGATTAGTTAGAGCCTGTAAAAATTAATCATGTTATAATAAGAATCTGTAAGTTTAGTACTGTTCAGCCATATTCTTGTAGATTTTACATCTTTTCAAAGAGTAATCATGTAGAAAAAAATTACAAAGGAGCTTCATACAGAACTCCAGTCTCATGTGCTGAGGATTTGAGAGCCCAAGAAACAGATTAACTGAGAGGAGGAGGAGAAGTGATTCTAACAGTGTCTCCATGCTTCCTTGGCTAGTTTCTCTAATGTAAGTTTATTTTAAATTTAATTAATAAATTGATTTCTAGTTGCTGTTGATGTGGATAGCTATTGCTTTTGTAATAATGATTGCTTCTATCAGTGGTCACAAGGCAAGCCTGAATTTAATTCAGGTTTTAACTCATGATTTTTAACTATCTTTAAAAGTATTCATGGAAATATTAGGTACACTACCCTTACTTTTCAGCTAGCACTCACCATAACCCTCCAGAAACCACCTGAAAGTATATTTTCCCTTTAAAGCTGTTGGCAGTTTTGTGGTACGTTTACATTGAAGATACCTATTCTCACCTAGAGCAGGAAGACTTTGATTAAACTACTGTTAATTGAAAATTAGGGTGACATATTTCATTGGCTGCTTATCTGTTTATTACTATGAAGTAATGCATGGACTATTGCTTGTTAGCTGCATTACATTATTTTGCATAATTACTGTTGTGAAAGTCAGTAAAGCAGTATTATGCTGTGTTCATGTATATAATTTCCACCAAATTTAATATGAAAGCGCTGTGGGATTAAAAACCTCAAAAGTATTAAGATACACTGCTTTTAAAAGCCTCAAGTATTCTGTTTTTTCCCTTCCCCTCAAGCATTTTACACTTAATTTGATTGTGTTGGGAGCAAGTCATCCAGTATTGTGTCAGATGTAGAAGCAGTTCGTCACGGTTTGCCTTGCAACTTGAAGAGACTGGGTGTGTGAAAATGGGCTGTCCATTTGTTACAAATACTAGGATTACATTCACATTGTCTCATCTCTGTCTAGACAAGGATATATAGTGGAAATAAGGAAGAAACCTGTGTGTGATTTCTAGTGATGAAATGTCATAGGTTCTTCCTGCTGCCGTTCCAGTACCAGTTTGGGAAGTTCACACTTTTCTTTTGTAATCTGTTGTCAGAAAGTCTGTTTTTGTCATTTGATTTTTTGTGTCCCATTTTGGTAGGGTATCTCAAAAGGAAAGAGAATGAGGGAGAGGCAGCTGACCACACATTTAAAGAAGTAGACTGGATTTGGGAGGATCTGAGGCTTTGTTGCAACTTTTGTATGACATACAGGCAAATAATTTACATTCCCACCCAATCATTTCCTTATTTTTAAGTGAGACTATTATCACTTCCCTTCTCTCAGCCTTCACTGGCCTAATCTACTGAAATTATAAAATGTCTGGGAAACAAGTGGTTTCTGAGTTCTAAATATGTACCTACCCACAGTCCTAGTATAAAATGATCTCAGTTGAGGCTTAATGTAATGCAAAATACAATCACAGGGAGTAGATGATGTTCCATGCTGAGTGATGCCTAGTATGTGTGTATCGTTTTCCTTCTGCTCTGAAAAGCAAGTTTACAAATGCCTTTATAAAACAAATATAGAAAAGCTGGAGTATTTCTTTGTCTTTGAGTTGAGATTGTTTACTTGTCTTTTATTCAGGCAGGTGGGAACCCTGTGCAGATATAATCTGGTGACATGTAGGAAGATTTTTGCAAGACAAAGATCTAGTTTGGGATCTTCAGGGACTGAAAAAACAAATCTGGGGAAAAAAAAGAATTTCCTGGTGACTGACACAAATGTTGCTGCTATGGCTTGCTGTCCTGCCAAACAGAGCATATAGTTCCGGCTTAATGAAAGGCAGAGATATCAGTTGAATTTGAAGCACATCTTAAATAGTTCTCTATGTGTGTGGTTTTGGTGTTTTTTGGTGTTTTTTTTTTTAATTGGAACATGGTCTTAATGAACATTGAGATGAAAAGCTGTAAAGGTGCTTCAAGGTTGTATTCTGAGAGCTAATGAAATGCCAAGCTCCCGTCTGAGGGAGTACAGAGGTGTGATTTAGCACGGTAATTATAGGTGCAGTGTTCCTGGCTGTACCAATCTCTAGAGAAAGTTACAGCTGAAGTTCTGGTCTCATGATCGCCTGATACTCAAAAGCACTGTTTGCAAGAGCTCCTAGACCTGTTTTCTGGCATTAAATCCTATTTGGGTAATTCCGCTTGATCTTTAAGGAATGTATTTCTTCCCATTTACATTTTCCTTTCTCAGTCATTTTCCTAGACTGCTGTGCATATCTGAATGTTTTAATTGATTATACTGTCACACCTTACCCTATGTTAGATGTGATAATATTTCATCACTAGAACAGGGCTGATGCTGGAGGCAGCTACTGAGGATTGTGTTGGGCCTAGCCCTCAGTAGCTGTGCAGGTGACCTGATGCAGAAAGGCAGAGGAATTAGTCCTTTGCCTTTGTCTAGGGCTCCCACCCACTTAATGCTAGCTCTGGGTAGCTGGAAGGTATTTAATATGTAGCATTAGCTTCTTTCTGAAGTGCACAGAATTGAAAGGTGCCGATGTGAATGATGATATTTTAGATACCTGCTAAGTTGCCATTTCAGGTTCATCCTGTACAGAAAAGGAATAGTCCATAGAATTATATTTTAGATGCAAAAGAATCTAAAATGTGCGTGTCCTATGCTACTTTTTTTAAATGTTAGGAGTTGTACATCTCTGTTATTCAGTTTACAGAGAGTTTGGCTGCGTTGTGTTCTAAAGTTGTAAGAAGAATACTCCAGAAGCATTGGCAACATGACCTGACTTGTGTGTTGATGAAAGTTGTTTTACTTGTCAGTGACACTCCCAACGGGAGTGCAATCTGTGAGACACTATTCCAAGGATCTGAATAATTTAATGTGTTACTGTACTTTACTGGGTCACAGCCCAAGACAGCGGGTTGTCTTGTTTTGTGTTTTCAAGCACTGACATGCCTGTTGAGTGTTTATGCAAGCTCAGATTTTTATTTTTAAACTAAAACACAAAAATAAACCAGAAGATGACTTACGTAGCACACTAGTATGGGGTTTTTTTCAGTGATTCCACAGTCTAGTTTAGTCAGCTTTTTTTAAAAAAAAAATTATCCTTGCTGTAGGTTTAAATGTTCATGATAAAAACCCAAAGACTTATGAAGGGTGGGCAGTTGAAAATGGTAGCTTCCAAGAGGCATAAGTTTGAATAGTAAATGGACAAATCTTTCTGTACTCTTGTTTTCAAAGTACAGGGGAAAGTACCGCTGAATGAAGTATCCGTCTGCAACTCAAATGCAGAGCAAGCACCTTTGTTTGTTTAATCTCAATTTTCTACAAATTGTAATTCAAAAATTTTATTTTGGACCACTTTACAAGAAACTTGGAGGATAATCTAGTGCTACAACTTGTGGCACTCTTCCAACTTATGTCAGTGCCCTTGAGCAACATCAGAATGCAATCACTTGGATTTATTCCATAGTCTAAGAAGTGTGGGTTGCTGGGATAGCACCTCCTAATAAGCCACGATGATGCCTGTGTATTGGGAAGAGCTATCATTATGAAACCTGTATTATTGGTTTCTTTCTCCACTGACCTAAAAACGCTTCCTTTTGGCATAGGTCTGCAATTCTAACTGTACACAGAAAGATGAGACATGTGTAAAGAAAACCTTGAGTTAGATTACCTAAATGGATGCCAAAGTAAGTTATTTCAAAAATTGTTGAAGCATAAGGGCTTTAGGGTGACAATTTCTAGTGTTGCTCAAAGCTGCTCTGCCCTGGCTTGCTGCATCAAACTTGTGTCACACTGCCTTTCAGAGGGCTGTCAGGCTGATCACAAGGCTAACCGCAAAGCTCCAAGCTCCTGTTGCTTGGTTTTAGTCTTCTATTTTCTACCTTATATTTGGGGGGAAAAAAAAAAGAAAAAATACCAAGGGGGGTGGGGAAAGAGAAAAACCGAGAGATAAACAGAAGAAGCTGATTTACTGCAGACACCCTTTATACATCAAGCTAGTATAATCTGTTGGGTTTTTTTATTTTATTTTGAAACAGTATGCTACAAAATGTAGGTGCTCCACAATTTTTTTTTTTGTCATACCTTTCATTTGATTGTATTACATGTCAGCAGTCTGAAGATTTAGAGGTAGGGCCTCAGAATTCATGAAATATATGTATGTAAACATTTTGAACAATACTTCCTGCCAGCTCAGTCTGAGGAAAGTAGATATACAGTGTGTGTCAAAAACTCCATTTTTTTTTTTTTTTTATCGAATGGCTGCAGAGTAAAGCAAAATCTGTCATGGATTATGTTTTAGGAAGATAAATTACTAAAATGTGTAATGACCAAGAGGGATTTCCTCTAATTAGTTGCATTCGAAGTTATATTTACAGCTCAGATGAAAGTGTGGGTTTAGGTTTCATGGGAAGCAGCATGGAGACAAAGTACCTGGTAGCGTGCACTGGTTGAGACAGGGAGTTTCTGGCACAGTTCCTCTTCTTACAGTCACTCTTCCCTGTGTCTGTTCACAACTTCTGCAGAGCCTCGTCCTCAAGCTGCAGTGGTCTGCCAAGGAGAGGTTGTTCTTCTCCTGGCCTTTTACTTTTCTTCAGTCCCTTTCAGCTGTTTAGCTTCACTGCTTTTTTTATCCTCAAGGAAAGGCTTTCATATCAATGCAGTAGCTGCCAACTTGAGATCAAACTAAAATTCTAGCCGTAGTTATTTTTAACAGTGCAACATAACAATCCATTATGCTCCGAATAGGTGGGGTTACTGAAAGCTTTATTTCACACTCCTGTGTACAGGCAAACTGACGGGAAGCAGATGTTCCCTCAGCGTACTCTGAAGTTAGGCCAGACACAGTAAGCAAAACTTCCTTACAGGTACTTGGGTCTGTGTTAGCAAAAAAGGCAAATGCAGAATTAAAGGAATTGTCTGTTGTTATTTATTTTGATTCTGGCTTTTTTTTTTTTTTTTAATTGGAGTAATTTCTGTTTCCTTCAGCAAGGCATCCTGTCAAAACTAGTTGAGTTCTTTAGAAGTTGGTTTCCTTTTCCACAGTATAAGAAAAATGATGACATACTTCACCGACTGGTAAGTGATCACTTTTTTTTTTCCCATTTCCTTTCCATATTCACAAGTCTGTCTTTCCTCTGTACCTCATCCTCTGAGCACCATCTTTGGTCTTTATTGTTGGTTTTGGCTCTAAGAGTTTTGCTTATTCTTCAGATAATATTGACACTGGTTTTCAGAGTTACTGTGCCAGGAATTTGGCACACAAGAACAGGAACAATATCAGTAGCCAGGTTGAAGATATTAAAAATGTGGAAGAGAAATTAAAATGTGTGAGAAATTAAGGAAATTCTTGAAAGCTGAAAGGAGTTAACCTACAGTGTACCTACCCCCTTCGGTGGAAGGCAGTGGGAAGACAGTGACTGAGAAAGTCCATGCTTTGCAGCCCAGTGCCTTGCAGACACAGCTCAAGACAGAAGACTCTACAGCTTCATCTGAGTATTCCTTCACCCTCTGTTTCAGCTTATTAGCTCAGGTGTAGCACCACCGCAGTGCCCCTGTACTACCCCTGGACCCATCCTGGCCTATTTGTTTCTGCAGTGCTCTCCACAGTGCTTCTGCATTTGGGAAAATCAAACTGAACTGGCAAAAGAGAACCAAACTAAGGCACCTCCATCATAATGCTTCAGAACAGTGTTAACGCATTAAGAGCAGACGACATCTGTGTAGCAGTCTGGCTGTAGCGAGAGGCAAGAACAGTTGTCTGTACTACCTTTGTGCTCTCGGCTGAGCAGTTCAGAAGCAGTCTGGGTGTCCATCTGCCTCACCAGAAGTTGTATTCTACTCCTGGAGCCTTCAGGAAATTTTAGGCCCCAAGTCAGCCTGTGTGGGACAGATCTGAAGAGTGGTTTTACCCCAGATAGTTAAAACAGTTTTATGCTGCCTTCACACCTGTTCTCTGCAGCGCCACTTTCTAGCCAGTTCAGTCTCTAGCCTGGGCTTGCTGAGATCTGCTTTAACTTGCACCCAGCTGCTTCAGGTTCCTAGTCTGGCTTGCAAATGTCACATTAGTCAGATTGTTCCAGAATCTAAAAGTTACAATTTTGATTTATTTTTCTCTACTATGATGTAGGGATGATGTCTTCAAATGTAGCTACAAACAAAAAAGTGTTGAGCAATGTGAGAAGTTAGGGGTTTCCATTTCTCAGAGAGTTCTGCTGAGTCCAATTGCTTTCTCTTCTCCCTTATCTCAAGGGGACAAAATTTCCTCTCAAACCTCTCATTAGTGATCTTTGGTTGTCTTTTTTTCTTCCTCCCTCTTCCCCTGTGAATCAACGGTATTATCTTAACAGCTTTTTTTAGCCTTACTTTCTTGACATGGAGACGCAACCAAAGAATATGGAAAACACGTTGCTCCTGCTGCATGCTACAGCAGGGTACTGAAATGACACAGGATGCATCGGAGGAGGGCAGAGTTTCCTCTTGCACACAGTCCTGAAACAAATGTTTTCTATTAAAAGTAGAATGCAAGTTATCTCAAGTGACATCAATGTGTGGAATTAAACTTTTGACTAGCTATCTTATGGTTTCATAAATAATCTCATTTTGTCAATGAGAGAACTAAACAGATTTTGTACTGTGAAATGCCTTACTTCTGTTACCAGCTTGTATTAAAGGGTTTTCAGAAATACTGTTCTTTCCCTCCTGTAATCTAGCTAGATGCAAAAATGCACATGTTCAGTGTTTGTTGGGGTTTGTTTTGACATTCTTAACTTGAAGTGTTTTGTGATTACAGTTTGGTGCAGTAAGCAAATTAAAATTTCAGGGGGCTTCTCTGATGGATATATTTGTCTTCAAGAGCTGTGTATTTGTCTTGAAGAGCTATAGTTGTAGGGAGAAAAGTAGCAAATGCTTATAATGGCATCAAATCCACAAGTAACTAACTCCCTGAAGTTTGCCTGGAGTTTAGCAAGTGTGAGGTCTTCAGAGTCCCATGCTGTTTCATGTTTGGATCAAGTTCCCTTGTGAAGGGCACAGAATCCTGCAGGAGAAGACCTCGCTGCCTTGGCTCTGGGCTTGAGTCGAGTGCTTTGACCCTACTGTTATTAAGTGTCCACAGGTGACTTTTTATTGACTTATTTGTAATATCTCTCTTGCTCTTTCTAATTTTTATTTGTTTGTTAATGACAAAAATTATGTCATGACATGAAAAAAAATGTTTGCTGTTTTATTAATGATCTTCTAATAGATACAGTACCTCCATGATTCTTACCCAAATATATTGGCATAATCTGTGGCATGTTTCCAGGTATTGTTACTATCTAGGTCAGATCAAAAAGTCAGTGTGGTGCATCCTGCAAGTCTGAACTGTTAGGTAGTGTGTGAGTTTTTAAAGTTAAACAGGTTTAATAAAAATGAAGTAGCTACTTGTGATGTATCTGAAACATTCCTGTAGTCTTTGGGAACAGATTGTTGTGAGTAAAGTGTAGAGTGTCTGGGTGTTTTCCTTGTTCTGCTAACTTAATTTTAAGAATTTGCAAATTCTTTACTAATGCCTGTTTTTTTTTCTCCCGCCCGTTTGTGGTAAGGATGTTGGATTTCGATTTGACACGCTCCGTACCATCCTGCAACAGGAAGTTCTGCTGCAGGAGGATGTGGAACTGATTGAGTTCCTTGACCCCAGTATCCTGTCTGCAGGGCAGTGTAAGCAACAGGAAAACGGACAGCTTCCAACGCTACGCTCCCTAGCAACTCCTAATATTTGGTATTGTACAGAGAATATCTACCACTATATTCACTGAGAAACAAGCAAAAAATATATTGTATGTTCTTTATATAAAATGCAGCAATAAAGCAATAAAGTTTTTTTTCTCGGTTCTTTGAGTCTTTGGTCCGCTAGTCCTCAGATTTTTGTATAATGTTTTTTTCCTCGGGCATTTTGTTGAAAGAGTGAGTCTTTTCACTGAGAATAACTACATGACCATGAATGGATACTGAGATATCTGTGTCTGAGGTAGCTACATGACCATGAATGGATACTTCCAGACCCTAATAGGTGCTATAAGGAAGAACTAGCATGGTTGATTAATTAATGAATTTCTAAAGCTATACAACGGTGATTTTCATAAATGGGGGATAATTGTGAAGACTGAATTGAAAAGTGTTTTCTTTGCTGTGATCATCTTAAAATATGTTGGGGGAGTGCAATTAATTTTCAGACGTAGGATACCAGAAGAACAGACTAAAGAATATTTAAACAAGAAGCATTCAAGTCAGCAGAGGCTGGTGAAACTCACCCTAGAATACTGAAAGAGCTAGCTGCAGCCATGTCTGAACAGCTACCTTCTGAAAAATAAGAAGGACGGTGGGTGTTCTGACAAAGTGATGTGCTCAGAAATGGACAGGAATCAGTAGATAAAAACATTTCATAACATAGCCTGGTGCTATGTTTTCATACATGTGTTAGGAAAATAGATCAAACTATTATAAAACCACAGCAGGCTAAAAACCCCAACTGTTTAAGTTGTAATATGCCATTATTGATGTCCTCTGTCAAATGAGAACTTTTAAACCACATTTTTCCAGTGGTTTGTCCTGATCCTAGCACTATTCACTGTTTCTTTAACTGTTCAGATGATAAAGTACATTTAGAAAATTTGTGAATATTGCTCAGCTTACAGATGACACCAAGTTTGTAAGTGTTTTGGCAGAATGAAGTTCAAAAGTAGCTTGGAGAAATATCTTGAAATCAACAGAAAAGTCAATAAAGACGAAAGTCTAATGCTACACTTGGGAAGGAAAAAACAAATTAACAAACACAAAGTGGTGAATATTTGAGTAGGCACTACTACTTCAGAAGAGGATCTGCACATCCTTGCAGAGCATAAATTGAATGCGTCAGCAAATTATTAAAAAATTGGCAAATCTCATCCTGGTGTCCTTGTTATATGCAGGATGTGGTGGTTTATTTTTCTGTTTGTTTCCCTAGGGCTTGTGTTAGACTACAGCATCTCGTTTTTGATGCCACACATAGGTAATTTAGAGACAGTCCAGAGCAGAACAAGAAGAATAATGAGTTTAGAAAATGTATTTTTCCAGAAACATTAGAACCTGCTAGGATTGTTTGGCCAAAATGGAGAAAATTGAGGTGCGATGGAACAGTGTTACAATGTACAGAAAGTAGTTGAGAAGATGGTGATCAGTTGTCGTTTATTCTGTTTAGTAAAGGGAGGGATATGAGGAAAAATAATGTGATTAATTTGCTAATGATTCAGACTGGACCTGAGGGAAATCTTTTGAATTCTAAGGATACTCATGAGTTGGAATAGCTACCTGGGTGGGTTGTGAATTCTCCATTTTCTTCTTCAGTCTGTCCATGATTAACCACAAACTGAAAATGGACAAAGTGAGCTCTTAAATCCCTTCCAGTCTTTCATTGTTGTGATTCATTTTTTGTGTGCGTGATTATTTCTTTTAATGTACCAATGAGGTTACAGGCTGTGTGTCTGTCCTTTCTAAAGTTAATTACATATCTGGAATATTTTAAACACTGGACCTTTACTGAAACCTCTCAGTAGTCCTGAAGAGTTAACACTTGTAAAGCTTGTTAAAATATGACCATAAAACTGTCTGGATAATAGAAACACAGAGACCATGTCTTATTTTAGAAATGGGAAAATATTCCTTGTGAATACTTCCGAAACTAAATACAGCATATGCAGCTTTAAGGGGTGAAGAAGGTGAATATTTTTCTTTCAAAAAGCTCTGAAAAAGTAAAATTATGCACTTTGAAGCCCATATCCCATCCATCTCTGTGAAGACTGACATAATTCTACGAAACTGCAACTATAATACTATGTATGAAACACTGTGTATTTTCTAGCAGTTACTTATTTTTGTTGAATTTTTGCAAAGTAGCAGCTTTGTGAAGTTCTTAAAATATCCTTGAGAAATAACTGAACTGAGATACTAGTAACTCTGTTCTTTAAGGATTTTCAAAAGCTGTCAAATTGTTTAAAATGATTATTCAAGCCATCTTTATAAGAATGTGTTAAAAACTAGTGGTGTCCAAGTTAAATGAGTCAGATTCTGGAAAAAATAAAGCTGGCATTACTTGAGGGTTTTGTTACCAAAAGAAACATGCCCTTCCCTACTGTACTCTTGAACCTGGAAGTACAGATATTCTAGTTCCTACCCACCCTGGCTTATAATGCTGAGTGGTCAGGTTTTTTCTTTTTCTGTTTTCTTTTTTTTAGAGTCATACATGTAAGAGAAACTGACCTTTCAAAGTGGTATATGGTTCTTCTACTCATGCCATAAAAAAGCCAGAGAAATGTTTCCTTAGGGTGTACTGACCAAGCATACATCTAAATCTGCCACTAGGAATGGTTTTCAGTGTTTACAGCTCCCTTCAGGACCTACATGAAAGCCCCATAATAAGATGTCACAATCTCAAATGTAACCGAAAGCTTCATGATTTTCCCACATGTTTGACCTCAGGAATCTGTGGCTGATGATACTTTCTCTGTTTGCAGGGATGTCTCGCTGTTTCTTGCCTTTGTAAGTGCACTGCTTATGCTTCCTTCGTGGTGGAAGGAATCATCGTGGCTGCTGTGGGGACTAGTTCTGCTTGTCTATGCTGTCTTTCGACTGTGGGGCACATGGAGGACAGCCAAGCTGCAAATGTCCCTGCGAAAATACTGTATCCAGCTGGAAGAAACAGTGGCAAATAGCCGAGCTTTTACTAATCTCGTGAGGAAAGCTCTACGACTCATTCAAGAGACTGAAGTAATTTCCAGAGGATTTACCCTGTGAGTCTATATTTCACTTTATTTAATACACAGGTCTGTTCAAGCCAGATGTCTTCTAAAATTGTCTTGTTACACTGTCTCTGATAACAAATGGAATTACTGAAAAATGTAATAGCTTTTAGTTTCCATAAAATAGTATAATTACCATTAATACTAAAAGTATGAATTCTAACAACTCAGTGTTAACCCCCTGCATCATGAAGGAGAATTAAGTCTCACAAAATTTGTATGCCTTTGAAATCTCCTGCTGTGCTAGCAATGGAACACATGAAGAAATGGATTTTGAACCAATTTAGTTAACTATTCTGGGGAGTCATTTAGAGGGTTTTTTGAGGGTTTTTTGAATCTTATGTTACCAAATCTATGTAAACAAACTGGCCTGCAAGTAATCATTCATATTTCAGAAAACAAGATGACCTGAAAACCATTCTATTTTCGTTTAACAAATAACGGTCTGAAGTAATGAGAACACAGCAATCAGCAAAGACCATCGAAGGTCATTTCCCACATCAAATAAAGTTTATATTACTCTCTTTTTCTTGCATAGAATTGTTGAGATGTTTAGATTCTTAAATTATTTACTGCTGAATTTGCCTCTCGTCCACTTAAGGGATGTGAAAGTGTTCCTGGTTACTTAGTTCTTGTAGCTATTTGGTAATTTTTTGCTTATTTGCAATGTGAAAGAGCATCAGAACAGGTTCAGTGTATGCAGTGATCCCAAAGCCAGCAGGCCCGCTTCTGCACACTCTCATCACCATGTATGCTTTTCCCTTGTAACAACCTATGGTTACATGTGTACCTGTGCCGGTTAGGCTTAAAGGAGGTAGGAAATACCAACAGCTAAATCCAGTCAACTTCTTTCTAAAAACAATTGAAAATTCCCTTGTGTGTGCCAAGGAATTGTTTGTTCATGCCAGACCAACTATTCTGCACTCAGGCACATGTTTTTACATGCAAGCTTGAAACTGTAGACTTAACATTTTGAATTAATTTGCTAGCTTGAGGTACCTTCAGTATGCTTCATTGAAGAAATGTTTCATTCTCCCTTTGGAATGCATAAGCACGTCTTCAGTCTGCCTAGCTATGTGTTTTGTTTTGGTTTGTTTTTTTGCTGAAGAAGCATATAGTTAAGCAATCGCAGTCTTATCTTTGCAAACGGGTTCTTAAAAGAAATTATTGTTAGGGCTTGTCCAAATTACAGATGAGAAAAGCATTTGGATTTTTTCCTAAGTTTAAGCAAATGAACTTGTGGTCAATCTCTAAAGTGCTGGTGCCTTGTTCTTTTACTACATATCTTAGATAACAGATTAACAAAAACCAGTCTGGTCTTTAAGCTGATGCTTGATCTAATAGCCTCTTTACTTAAAACTTTGGCAAGCTTTTCAAAAGACCTTGGAGTATGGATGGAGTGGGAGAAGTCTGACTGTGCCAGCATCCTCATTGGAACAATTGTCCAGTAGGAAGGAGTTGTTGCTGTACAGGTTTTGGTTTGGGTTTAGCCTGGAGGAATTTCTAACTCCCGAGTGGCCTTTTCTGCATCCACATTGCAAGAGATGATGTTGCACAGGGCACCGTGAAATTATTTGCTTGAGATAGTGCTTCATGTATGATCCAAAAAAACTAGGTACCTTTTTCTTCTGGAATTTTGCTACAATAAACCTAGAAGAACAAAGTTTAGTATGTTCCTCTGTAGTAACCTTGTCTTAATGATTGTTCAGAAAGAGTCGCATGCCAATAGAAATGGTTGATTCTGAAAGGTTAATGAGTATCTTCGTGTGTTATTTTACATCGTTGAAGGAATGGGACTTCAACTAGGTAGCACAGCATCCTGCTCAATACGTATGCTGCTGGTTTAATATACTGCTAGCTCAGCATAGTTTGGACTCTGCATTAACCATGTTGTGAATGGAAAGATACTGAGGCTGACATTTAAATAGCACTGAGTTCAGATTTTGGCTGGCTGTACTTAGCTAAGCTCTGATATGGCAAGCCCAGGTCTGCAACTTTGGCCTGAAGTTCCATGCGTTCCATTGCTGGTTTTTCTCCCCATTGCACCATCCATTGCTGTGTTCTTGTAGGCTAATTTACATATGCTTTGAAGTATCTGTGGCTTTGCTTTATTCTATCCTAATTGCCCCTTGTTAATTGATATTTCACTGTCTCTGTAAATGTTAAATTATCCTTGATGAGGTTTTGTTCAGTTTTCCACTAGTTCACTGGTTTACTACTGTGTGATGGTGATTGCTATATGCTTGCCAAATTGAAGCATCGTTTTGCGTTCAGTCCCCTCCCACCCAAAAAACCCAACAGCAGCCACTTAGAAACTTAAGAACCCTGTCAGGCCTCTCTTCTGTTAGCTGCTCTCAAAGGCAACTGGATATTCTGATTTCAGAATGGCCTTCAGAAGCATTTAACGCTGCTGTTGGCGTTTCAGGTATGTCTGCATGGTACCAGCTCTGCAATGCAGAGATGGCTGAGGCCTCACCAGGGTAGTCTGGATTACAGAAATTGTGTAGCCAAGGTAGGGCAGTGCCCTAGTCAGGCAGAATGCCAGTATTTCTGTCTAATTTTTTCATTCTCAATTAGACAAATGAAGCTTGATCACGGGTTGCAGCCTGGAATTTCCACTGCGTAATGAAAGTATGTCCATTGTCTTGCCTATTATAAAATCAAAACTGTAGGAATACATAATGAAAGGCTGGAGCAATAAGCAGCAAGTAGTTATTTCCTGGTCTGTCACTGAAATAATTAGCTTTTCTCCAAAATGCTCCTTTTTACTATATTTTAAACTAGAAGCAAGCTCTACGAGCACATATTGGTATATATAGCATCTTTATAGAACTGCCTTCATGTTGGAGTGCAGTAATAGGTTTTTATTAATGTGTCTGTGCAAGTTTGTTAAAAGTTGAGAGCGTATTTAAAATTTGGCTTGTGAGATTAATGCAGAAATAAGTCAGTGTTCTTTACACGTAAAATGGCTTTGGAGCAGTAGGAAAGAGGAAATTCACCCTTAACCTTTTTTTTCTTCTTGCTGTTTGTGGCTGATACACAAAGCTGATAACATTTTGTAAGTCCAATTAAAATACATAGAAGATAAATGGAACTTTAGGAAGTTAGGGGTATGGCATGTCTGGCACATAGACATTTATAGAAAGTTATATTAATTTAAGATTACTGGAATAAAGAATTGTTACTTTATAAAAAAACCCTGAAACAAGCATTCTCAGAAAGAAAGCAAATTGTTTTGCTGAATACTGTCAGTGTATGCTGTGTATGAGTTGTGCTCCATTTGTTCTGTATAGGAGCTGGAAACGCTTACATCACTGTAGCAGAACCGATCTCTTTTTTATGGTAGAAGAGTTTTGCTCCTTTTCTTTGAGCCTGCTTCTGACAGTTCACCCAGGGCTTGAGTCTACAGACTGATGTGAGAGTTTATCCACAAATGCTTCCAGTTGTTACCTTCAAAAGCCAGGGACACGTTAGAGATTGGCATGTACTACATTGGCATGTACTACATTACATGCTGTGTTCCTTAGTGAAACGTATGGCAAGACTAGCACTTTAAATTTACGTTTAGAAATTGAAATTAACACAGGTTGGTTTCATTTTATTCAGATTTTAGTGTACTTGATGAGATGTTATATAAACCATTTTGATGACACTCACATAATTTAATATGGTATGCAGATATTTTAATATAGTATTTTAGCTAGCATATTTTAGTATATTTACTGCGGTATTTGGCACGAATCTCCCTGTTAATCATATTTAACATACTGATATGGGTCCAGCTTTGCTCACTGGGTGGTCTGCATTGCTTTTCATATTTGACAGTGAAGGCCATAAGCTATTTACCCTCCCGGTCAATGTACAGCATGGTCCAGCTAAGCACATGCAGTGGGACTGACATTTTTCCAGCAGAGTCAGATCTGCTGGCTTAGTCAGTTCTTCAGTCAGAGGGGCTACAGAAATAGTTACCAATGCAGCAGCCCAACTCAGTCTTGCCAGGTACCCTGTACACCTTTTCTGTTTTAAGTGACTGTGGACATGAAATCAACTCCTCACCATGCCCTGGGAAAGATGAGAGCAAACACAGGCTTCCAGTCCCCAAACAATTCATCACAATTCATCATCCTGTTGTCCACACTACATCCATTCCTGAGTTGATTCCAGTAAAAACAGTCCCAGCAAGTAGAGCACACCTAGGCTAATTTCAGTGTCTCAGTCATAGGTTTGTATATGAATAGATATAACTGGATATTAATCTTTTTTTCCTTTCCTACAGCTTAATGTTACACAGACGTGTTTAACATTCACACAATTCACAATTCAGTTTATTTCCAGATAAGGCAATTTCTTACAGTTCTAAAGCCATTCCGAAGTATGTTCTAATAGGAAAATGGCACAGTTTCTTTTAAATGGTATATTCACCTGAATGTGTTGACATCACAATATATTTTCAAATATGCTTGTGTAGTTGCATACATTTCATGTGTTTACCTGTCAGACTCCCACAAACACAGCTGTCATTCATTGCATTGATGATAAAATCTATGTCACCACTCAAATAATATTTCTGTTGACCTAGAGAAGATTCTGCATGGAGAAGGTTGAAAGGATATGGTGTTTTGTATGAAAAAGAATATGTAGTAGAGCATTTTTTCTGCAAAAAAATACTTTAAGAACAAATTTGCATATAAAGAGGTGTCTGTTGAATACCTGTGTGTTAAAACTTCCAAAGCTTACAGTGGGCTTGTGATAGTTTTGTAACAGAGATACTGGTATGGCCCGTCTACCCGTAGTGAATCATTTTGGAAAACTTTGGAGAAAACAAATGTCCTCAGGAGTTTTGCCATGGCTCAGATGAGAATAGGATCAGGCTGTCTACTGAGGAATCCTGGCTGCTTATCTGAAATTTTGATTAAATATATCATTGAGATGATTGATTTTTTTTTTTTTGGTCTCATAGTTACTGAGTTATTTGAAAAAGTTTTCTAAGTAATGGAATAAGAAAACTGATGTACTGTCTTTTAAAAATACTTTAGGACATCTGTACAGTTGTATCACATTTTACTTTTCAAGTTTGCTTGACAGGGTCAGTGCCGCTTGCCCATTTAATAAAGCTGGACAGCATCCTAGTCAGCATCTTATTGGTCTCCGGAAAGCTGTTTATCGATCTGTCAGAGCCAACTTCCGAGCTTCAAGACTGGCTACACTATACATGCTGAAAAAATATCCTTTTTGTGAAAGCCCACGAGTTCAGATATTCCACGTAACGTACCTGTAATTTTGCCAGTGTTTAGAGTTAGTATATCTAGAAGCATACGATATCTAATTACTTACCTAAACAAGATAAAGGTAGCATAGTGAATTGAGGCTTATGCTTGGTTTGGAACATTCTTAAAATTTTTGTCTTTTTGTGTACTGTGCAGTGTGAGATGAGTTTCTGTGCACTGAAAACATTGTCCCAGTTACTGACACCCATGCCTTTGGTGTAAGTACTGATAATGCGTTTCAGAGTCCTTCAGGATTTTGTTTTATAATTCCTTCTAGCCATCTTTTTCCCTGCACCAGAATCCCCTCTCCTCTGAACAATATGGCCTTTCACTCGCCATCCCTGTGTTCAAAGGTAAGTTGATTTCCTGTTTCAGACCAGCTGCGTGAAACTCTGATTACATTAATCAGCCAAAAGGCGCATTTAAGGGCGAGGAGTTTCTACTCTGAATCAAAGCAGAACTCTTGGTTCAGATTCCATTTTGTGAAGTGTCATCTGTCTTTCTTCAGTGAATTGTATACTTTCTGTAATGGCATTAGCATTTCAAGGGTTTTTTCTGTGTTTGTTGTACTTATTGTACTGTATAGGAAATAACAATGTCTTCACCCTGTATTATAGCAAAAAAATAAACCAGGTACGTTCCTGATCTGAAAGAAACACATACAGGGAAACCAAAGCTGGTGGTAATGTAAGTGTTGAAAATCTGACATGACAAATTACTTGGTTTTTCTTCCTGAACATAACTGACTAATATATCTTGCGTGGCAAGTGGGTGGATTGAGTGATGACGTGTAGACACGCAGAGGCACTCACAAAGCTACAAGTGCGTGCGTTCACTTTGAAGGAAATGAGTATTTCTTTGCAAAGTAATCACTTGTGTAGGGATAGGCATCCTCATTCTGGGCTCAGGACTTTACTCTTAGCTCTGAGGAATAAGGTGTATTTGCTATGTAAAGAAAGAAAAAAAATACTCTGACTGGTTCAGACAGGTTGATAAGAGCAACTGATACCTAGCTTGGAAATAATCAAGAATCACTTCAAAGAACATGGGAAGAGAGGTCTGAAAATAGGATCAGTTAACATGGCCCCTTGGCCCTCCTGAATATCCTCCAGCACGAAGTAAGTCAGCCCAGTGGTGGTTATGACAGGTGTGTAGGTTGTTGCTGTGGCTGGAGAAGTTACAGTTTCAAGGAATATTGGTGTGTATTAGACTGTCCGCTAGTTTTGTAACTACTAAAGTTAAGGAACGGCTTTTAAATTAAGGAATGGGAGAGAATAAATTTTTGTTTACTTTGGATAATTTCACATTTATATATGTCTTTGAAAAATTTTTAGGGTGGAAGTTCCATTATACCGAATCGTCATGCAGATATTACAGTAGTAAGGACCAGCAGAAATAAATGGCCAAAAATTTATTGAAGTTGCTTGTATGTAGATAAGTTCTGGGAAGAGAAGCATTCATTTGTGCAGAATGTAGTGGCAAAAACAGTGGTAGCATATGAGCTGAGATGCAGGCTGGGCCAATTCTGCAGTGCATGAAAACCAAAAGTAAGGAATTTAAATGTGAGGGAGATGAGTAAAAGATTCCTCCTCCCCACCAGGATAATTAAGAGCAGCTTTAAGGTAGTTCCAAGTTGCCTTAGTTTGAATTTTTCTCTGCGTATCGTGAATGCCTGAAAATGTTATGTGTATTACATAGGCATTGATGGAAAGGAGCATCTTTCAAATAGATTCCAGTGCCTTGTGCAATTAAGTAGTGCTCTTATGCTGGAGGGGCCAAAGATTCCTTCATGTCAAAAGCATTCACAGCTGCCACTTGTGACAACTTTAATGCCCTTGTCCGTCATCAGACTGTTAGCACAAATCTGGCCTACAGCAAGGAGAAAGAGGAACCGGAGAGATTAAATAAAGGAGTGAGGTGATAAACTGAAGGAAAGGAATGTTGATAAATTAAAGGAAATGAACTTCCATCCAAAGTCTGGAAATGAGATCCCAATTATGACTTTTACAGGTTTTTTTACTAAGTTCTTTGCACAAAATCAGAAGATACTCTCGACTTTAAATCCTCTAGGTTATTTGAGTATGAATTAATTCATTGCTATTTGTAATTTGCTTTTGCTGAGCCTTGTGAGAGACATGAATCCAGTAGCATTATTAGTGATTTACACTGGCAAGAGCAAAACAAAATGCTTTTATTAGAGAAAAAGATATTAGAGAAACATTAAAATTCAGATTAGTATTACAAAATTACATAAAAATACCCCAAACCTATGTCTGTACAACATCATTCACTGAAATTACATTTTCTGGGAAAAAAATAACCCATTGAAATATATTTTGCTTATTTCTGAACAGTTTTTTGACTTAACATTACATAGATGCAACCTGTCTTCGAAAACAGTTCTTGTAAGAGGCTGTTCATCTGATTTTGTTAAGCACATATGGATGCATCTTTTCAAAGTGGAGAAAATTATCAGTCCTTATTAAGCCATAAATGAATAAATTGATTTTGTTGCAAATTATTTTTGAAAGGTATATTCTGATTTGTTCATATCGGCAAGAGTACATTGCTCAAAATGATAGGAAAAAGTCAGAAGGGAGGAAAGAGAAGAGTGTGTCTCCTTTAATCTGGAAGATAAGGGTATAGTAGGATGCAATGGCTGAAAGCTTAAACTAGAAATTAGGCATTTTGGGTTAAGTATGTACAGGATGTTGTGCAGACCAGTCACTATTAGTTCAACAAATCTCTGCACTATACTCCATTGAATTGTGTGATAACTCAGGCCGTACTTCAGTCAGAGTGCTAGTTGCTTAATATTTTTATACTTAAGAGCTTTATGGGTTCTGCGTCATGGGAATCTATGGTTTATTCACTGATTTAATTATATGCAAGCTGGATGGAGGAAATTTTGTAGCTCATGTTGGTAATAGTCTCATCCTCAGCTGGTGCAAGATGGTGTGACACTAGATTTCCATTGAACTACATTGATAGGTAGGACCTGGGCGTTGGACCACATAAACTGAAGAACCTTTAATTTTGTTGTCAGTGTAAGGTGTCATTCTCTGATGGCAAAGCATAAATAGTGTTATAAAAACACTAGCAGTATTGTAAACTGAATGATGTCTTACCCCATTAAGGTAGAATGGCTATAAAATACATTCTATGTCTTTGAGATGCCCTGAGCACAGGGAAACTTGCAAGTTTCCTCCAGTAAATCCAGTAAACAATTGTTACTTCTCCTCTGTAAAAATTCAGTTACTGCATTATGAAATGCTAGGGAAACACATACCTTTGAACTTGGGAAAAAGTAAGCTCACACAAGAAAACAGTAAGCTGAACAAAAGGTAGTACCTCCTTTGGGTCATAAGAGCCTAAATCAGAAATCCGATGCTGCAATGTCCGAGTAAAGATACTTGGGAATTTTTCAGTGCCATGTTTCTTCCTTGACCAGCCAGTCCATCCCATGCTTAGCTCATCCCTTCCTGCCTGGTGAGCAGGTGAGAATTTTATAAAAGAGCAGCTTGGATTTCTCAGGGATATTGTGAGGCCCTCCTGTTAGATTTTTAGATGGGAATGTGCTTTGGAAGACCAAAGTATGAATAGTAAATTGTGACGTACAGAGGTACATCAGTGTTCTTGCTTTTCTGTAGGTAAATAAGATCGGTCTCCTGACAGATATTGGACATTCCCTGTGCGGATATTTTATTCTGGATTTGGCAGTTTATTAAGTAGTTTTGCCTTGTCTTCTTCCAAGCTAATAAGGAATGTAAGTTATGAATGAAATATTTTCACAAAGACATAGAAAAATTTAACTAACCTAAGGTTAGTTACTGTATTTTGGCTTTAATAGCAAATGTTAGCACTAAAAATAGTTGCATTTTAGAGCAAAGTGCATGAAGGAAGTGTGTTTGTGTGTATGTTTGTGTGTATGTGTTTAAACATTCTAAAGGCTTAGTCCTTATGAAGCTAATGGGGGCATGGGATCAGCTCTCTGCTTTCATCTGTCACATAGAAATGGGAGTGGGAGGGCTACAATAGAGGAGGAGGAGGCAGGAGATGCAGGAGTCCACTGGGAATCCCTAGCTGAGACATAATATCAAGAAGTGGCTCCTTTGGTCAAACAACACATTTGAGAGGTTTCCTAGAAATTCTTTTTAGCATGACTTAGAAATTCACTTGTGTCCAAACTGCTTTTTAGCTGTTGGAAACGTCTTGTTGCGGGAAAAGATTAACAAGGAATATAATTGTGTCTGAGATAACTGGTCCTGGAGGAGTTTGACCTGACTTCTGATGGAGTTACCATCCTCATCCCATGTGCTCCATCTGCTGGGCGTGCTGTCGGGTTAACTCAGAATAAACACCCCGTTTATGGGAGGCAGCAGCTGGTGGCAACAATATATTGTGTATCTGAGTGATTTGCATTGCAGGTTTTCATCTGCATTCATGCTTCTGGAGAATGCTTAATAGGCTTCTTTCTTCCTGGACTTAGGGGAGGATTTAGGGTGAAATGTAGTTGTTTCTTCAGAGCCTGGGCACAGTATTTTCCTAGGTCACAGAAATTTTATTTTATGCAATGTTGTTCTACTTAAGTGGTAAAAATTTTCTCAAGCAAATCATTGTTACAAGTTTAATCCTATGAGGATTTAGCAGGTAGAAAATTTGGGAGTGAAAGCGGGTGGAACTTGTAGCTTCCCCAGAAAACACATTAGTTGGACAGGAGGCAGGTGCTTTTAATCAGCTTTATGTGCCTGAAGAGATGAGAGTGGTCAGTTTGTAAATCAAAATATAAATTAAAAAAACATAGTTTAAACTAAGGCCTTATTTTTATGAATGCTTTGCAAATATGTTTTTTAATGTATTTCTGTAGAAAGAATGCGCTTATGCCCATAAGTTGTAGGTTTCTGTTTTAAAGCAAATTTTACTATTTTCTGACTGAGTAACTATCGAAAATGTGCAGAAATCTTGAACTGTTCCTCCTCCCCCTTCCCCAGCATGAGGTTATTTTAAAATAATAAATTAGTGCTATTTTAAAATAAATGCTGCCTGGTCTATGAATTATTTTTATCTGTCTTCTGGTATCAGTTATATTGTGCTTGCTTCCTACTTTTTCAGCATTTCTGAGGACTGGAAATGTACATTTTCATACTCAGAACTGAAGTGTGCTGAATAGCGTTGGTAGATGAGAGTTTGCCACTGTTCCTGCCAAGATCATGGTGGCTTTACAGTGATGTAATCAATAAAATTAACGGTATGACAGTTGGAGAGCTCCTGTTCTTCACGGTACGATTGGAAGTGTCAAAGAGCAGTTATTGTAGAGATCCCTCCATAGACAGAACTCGCAGGGAATTCCCGTCATCCTGAGCTCGGTCTATAACACAGGCTACCTTTGGAACTTAAAATTGCTCAATTGTTCTCCTCTTTCCTCTGTTAAATACATGATTTATGGTTTAAGATTGACATGAGCTACCTCTTGGAAACTTAATATTTAAAGATAAGATATTTTTCTCACTTGAAAGGGATGCAGGGATTTTGAATCTGTTCTGTTTCTTTGTTTGTATTTAGACATAGGTGTTTCATCAACGTCTTACCTCTCATCCTTCTAATAGCTTTTAAAACTTGTGCTCTGAGGATTGCAAAACATTCAGTTAAACAGGATTCAAGTGGATTTGGGTGGAATGTATGTGCTTTCATACAAATTGCCAGAAATAAGAAACCTTATTAGGTGTTTTTTCCTTTTCTGTGTGTTTAATGCGAAAGTTGCTTTGTTAATCACCTTAACTCCAGCTAAACCTACCCTCTGAACTCCGAGAGTGACAATGTGACCAGCTACATCTGTGTAGTTCCCTTTAAGGAGCTGGGTCTGGGACTGAGCGAAGAGCAGGTCTCTGAAGAGGAGGCACACAATCTAACCGATGGCTTCAGCTTGCCTGCGCTCAAGGTAACTTCTCCTAGAAGGACATTTGCATCCATGCAGGCTCCTGGTGAAAATCTCTTTCAGCTGTCATGAAGCTCTGTGGCTTGTACGTACTAGCCTGTAGTAACATGGTCAACTGAGGGGGAGATGTAATCGGTGTCATATCGTGTGTTTCTACATTTATTGGCATTTAGGTGATTTCTTTTTGCATGTAGTTGAAGAGAACTTGCACAATAAAACATCAGAATTTTTTCTGCAAATCATGTAAATTCAAGTCAGTGTTTTATAATCAGCTTGATTGATCCCTCCTTAAACGTGATTTTTTGCTCTCTGATTTCGCTTGATCCCAGCGGAATGAAATAATTTCCAGATTTGTACTTGCATCTTTTTTAGCTAATCTCTTGACTTGAATAAAAACAGAGACATCAGAAGATAAAAATTAGTTGTAATTGCCAAAGGGAATAGCTGCATTTAGTTACACTGAGGAGTAGAAATCATAAGCTTGGACCCCTGCTGCCGTGAGCCAGTGTGGTTCTTTGATCTTTGAAAAATGTTTAACTGAACAGAGTGACAACCATATAATGGCCTTTTTATCTATTTTGTTTTGAGATGTTAGGTATTTTTAATTTGCATGAGTCAATGTTTGCAATTGGAAAGATCTAATTTGAATGCAAGCCTTCCCCACTCTAGTTGTTCTCTGCTGAGGCAGTTCCCTTATAACATTATGTTTTAAATGGAAAATTCCATTATTATGTGACTTCTGTGTTTCTACAGAGTTGGCTCTTGTTGCATTTTATTCACTTAATTCCTAGACCTTGACTTCTTTTGTTCTGACAGTAAATACTACCAGTAATAGTGATTAGTAAGTTTTGAGGCTTTTTCTAATTAGTTGTAAGCTAAGAGCTACATCAGATGTAAGCTTTGGGGTTTTTTTTTCTTGCCTTTTCATTAGCTGAAGTTCTAATTGCAACCATGCAAGACCACTTACTTACCGATTTCTTTTTAAGCACAAGACGCTGATCAGAGGTGCCCAAGCTTGCAAGCTGAAGCTTTGCTTACCTGCAATTTGCAGTAATTTGACTGAAATCTGTTTTAGTTAAACTGGTTGGGATGCTTTCTGGGTACAGTTAAGCTCACATCTAGTAAATCTCAGTTTACTTTAACTCAGACAGTGGTGTAGGCTGGGTATGGTGTAGTTGAAAAAAGCTAAATTATCATAGATCAGTCCTAAGCAGATTCCTGCGTTGATAATAAAATAGATACACTTTGATAACCTTGGGACATATTTGTGTTGGGAGCCCTGGATTTATGTGCTGTCCTCTTTAGTTTTTCATTTGAGACAACTTGTCTTAGTATTAAAATGCAGGTGGAATACAGACATGTATCCAGATTTGGTTAATATTCTAATTTTCATTCAAGTCTATGTCTAGGCCATATGATAGATCTCGCTTGTGTGTTTTGGCTACCTTGTCCTTGAACTAAACCAGTTTAAAGAGTGAAGATTTTTAACTTAAGAAAAAATACTGATTCAAGCTGAGGACAGGCAGTTGGATGTTTTGGGTGAAGTTTAAGTGTCAGTAAAAACAATCGGAAGTCATTGGCCTAGCAAGCTATTTGCAACCCTAAATATATCTGGAATTTCTTTTTCTCTGATTGTTGCACCTTTTTTCAGGTAGGTTTTGGATTATTATTATTATCAATTCCTGTAGTCCACTACTTCTGTGTGCTACTTTTTCACTGCTTTTGCCTTATGCCTGGTGGAAGGGACTGGTCTTCTTTTGTGCTTATTATAGCATGAGCTCTTGACTTTCTACCCAGGGCACCACACCTTCAGGGACTCTTGAGTGATTGCTGCCCATTTGTTTGCTTTTTATTTTAGCACCCAGCCAAATCACAGTCTTGCATGTGTGCCCCAAATTAATTTCGTATCATTCTGTGTTCTTTCTTCTCATAACCATCTTTCATAAATAGAGAATTTTTTTTTTCTTTTGGAATATTTTATCAGTTTGCATCCAGGTATTTTTGATATATCCTTGGGGTATATCAGACTGCATCTGTCTGAAGGCATTAATTCTTTGTGTTACTATTCTGAATGTTTTGCTCTTGATTGTTTGCACACGGGAAAAAAACCTGCTACTTGTCCATAGCAGTATGAGTACAAACATGTAAATATATTATTTCAAATCCTGTAAATCCAAAATCTCAGCACAAGTAAATTGTTAGTCCTATTCTGTAGCTGATGGAGGTGGAAAAAAGCATGATGAATAATTACTTTGTCTTCCTCAGTCTGGAATGCTTGAGAACAGGTTTCAGACTACACCTCATAGTCACCTACAGTTGATCCCTTTTAATAAGGGCCAGTATTGCAGAGGAAAGTGCCATAACCTTTCCTTTTCATTTTAGAAGTATAAGATGCTACTTTTCTGTCATGGTCTACTGAGCCAACAGTCTTCTGTACGCTAAGAAAGCAGTTAATTTCACTGGAACTGGAAGTTCTCAAGAAATTGAAATTGTGGGTTTCTTGCTCCCAGATGGACAGGCCTCTTTTGTACCATATATAACATTGTGAATCGATTCATTTCTTACAAGCTTTCCCTCCGTAGTGGCATTGGCGAAATTTCGCACTTTGGCTGAAAAAACAATTAAGTTAGCAGCTCAGCTTTCTTCGGATGTAGAATGTTTTTTGTTGAAGTACAGTGCAATTAGACTCATGTTTCAAGCCTGGGTGCGGGGCAATGCAGTAGTCAGTAGATCGTCGAAATGATAACTTGGCATCATAGAGGAAAAAATGTCTGTGCTGCCATGGGAATTTTGGCAGCCCTTTATGAGCTGTAGAGTATGTGGAGATTATAGCAAATAATGAAACTGCCTGATGAGAATATGAGTTATTAGGCCTCTGACAACCTTCTGAGCATAATTGCATATAATATCCTTCATCGAAGAATTAACAGTCACCAAAGGTTCACAAGATCCAAACCTCACATGGTCTGGGATACCCTTCAAAAACATTTAGTGGATTTTTGCAGTTTTTCAAAGTTCCTGTGGCTGGCTGAGGAATGGTTTCCCATGGTGTATCTGTACATTTACTTTGGAGGCTGGCTGTCTTCCCAGGTGCACAGAGCTAACCCGACCCTGTTTTGCAGGTCCTTTTTCAGCTCTGGGTAGGGCAGAGTTCAGAATTCTTCAGGAGGCTGTTGCTGCTCCTCTCCCCAGCCAACGCGTCCCCCAAGCCCTTAATCTCCCCTGAACGGCTGCCTCATCATATCTTGTCTGATGTGACTCAAGGCCTACCTCATACACACGCTGCCTGCTTAGAGGAGCTTAAGCGAAGCTATGAGTTTTATCGGTACTTTGAAACTCAGCATCAGTCGGGTTTTGAACGGCCAACCCGAACAAAGCAGAAGTCAAGAGAGCTGAACAGTCTTCAGACAGCGGTACGCAGCTTGCAGCTTCATCTCAAGGCTCTGCTCAATGAGTAAGTTCACACATGAATTAAGAGAACATGCCTGTAGGGAGAAGGCTTCAGACTTGAGTTCTTTGGGTTGTCGGGTTGTATTCCAGATGAAAAACAGAAAAGGCAGATACGTATAGTCGTTGCAGTCATAGGCATATCTTCACATGGTATGGGGTCAAAGATCCTTGGTTCAATATGGAATCTGATCTTGTTTCCTGGTTATTCTTTACGTATCTGATGAAAATTCAAAGCTAAGCAGTGCATTAAGATCTTGCCTTGCTTTTGTCACTCTCTTGGAAAAAAATACTTGAAAACATACGTCATTGATTTTGCGACATACCAAACACTTTATAAGAAAGTTGAGCTTGTAGAAACTACCTAATAAATAATTTTAAAGATTTATCACTGCTCAGTGAAAAAGTTGAAACTGTCCTACTCATTTAATCTTACATATAAGATTTACTATAGTGAATGCAGGTGAGCAATGTATCTTGATGTGGAGAAAAGGATCTTATTTTTCAAATTTTGGGGCATCTTTGAGGAGTTGGCCGAGTTAGATTCTTAAAACTTGAAGAAAATAACAGGATATTAAATGAAATACTTGAAGGAATGGTGAAGTCAGATATTCATTATTACTTATTTCTGTTCATCTCCTTATCACTTAGGGTAATAATTCTTGAGGATGAACTTGAAAAACTTGTTAGCACTAAGGAGACACCTGAGTTGACAACAGAAGCCCATCATGTTCTGGAACAAAAACTAAAGTTTATTCAGCCTCACATCCAGGCAAGCAACAGCTGCTGGGAAGAAGCCATTTCTCAGGTGGAAAAAATGAGTGGAAGAAACCCAAATAAAAAAGGTAAATGTGAGAGATTAATTTAGGAACTAATGGGATACATTTTAGAGATGGAATGGTCAAATGGATCAAAGACAATGTTCAGCCCATATATCAGTATTTTAGCTGAAGAAGGTCTTACGACCATGCACTTTGTAAAACTATAAACATATGTCAGACTTTTTCATTGTGATGACCTTGAAGCTTTTGTGTCGACAAAAAATGTAAATGTATTAATGCAGTCTGTTAGACCTGTGGATTCAGATTGTTGTATTTCCAGGTGTAGACCGAGAGTGGCTTTTTGCCTTTGATTGGCGAGTCACATGTGATGGGGTAGGATTTTGATGAATCCTCCCTCAGATTTTAATTTATTTATTTACTGCATAAAAATTGCATAGTTATTTGAGATGACAATGGTGTTGTCATGAAGCTTTCTTGACAATGGCATTTCCTGGAACATTTTAAATTGTAGAGGAGGTATCAAGCGTGTAATACCTATTTACCTGCTCTCTCAGAGAGAGTTAGCTAATCTTCTGTGTGCTTAAAAGTCTCACTGAGCAGCATATCCCAACATTTTGCCTTATGTCGCTCTCCTTAGTGACCTGTACTGCCTATACTGTTCTCCTTGTGAATCACAAGTAGGTTAAAGAATGGAAGTGAACTCTCCTGACATGTAGCTGAACCTATAATTTCTAATCTTTCTTTTTTCTGGGAGCTTTTTTACTATCCTAGGAAGACACAGCCCAGCATCTGAAAAATGCTAGTCATGGAGACTGCGTTAGGGAAGTTATGACTTGGGGTATCAGTCACATATTTACCTACAGAAATCCAAATTTGTAGCGAGCTAAGCTGTTAATGATATATGGGTGGGATATCCAGTAGATGGATGAATATGGCTGTGGGCCTAGATGTGTGTAAGCTGACCTTGCTCATGCTTACATCAGAACTGGGAGCACTGGGAGGCCTAATTCAGGCTCTGTGCAGATCCAGGCACAGTATAACCAAGTCTGTGTGTCCTTTGCCTGGTAGTCTAGTCTTACAACTTCCCTTTCAGTGCTGCGTAAAACCGCCTATGAGGATATTAGATGTAGTGTGATACATTTGCATGTGCTAGCCTGTTGTGTTTTGTTGATGCCCTCCACAACCAGCAGTTCCACTGATCTATTTTTTCCCCTTTCCTTAAATGTTCTTTCTAGACTGCATGCCATAGTGTATTTTTAGTTATTTTAGTTTTATTTTTACTTTGTGTATAAATTTCACAGCAGGCACTTCTATTATAACGTGCTTCCTTTTAAAGTTCAGTACAAAAATAACCTAGTGTGTGATCTAGAAGGGAGAGATTGCGTGAGAAGTAAAAAATGAAAAAATCCTTCACTTTTACTTTTGCCCAGTGACTTTCGTGGAAATGCTCTGGGGTTGAGTCTCTATTTTGCAACAAGTTTGCTGAATTACTCCACAGGAGCTACTCTTAAATTATGCTGGTCATTGAAAACTATTTTTATCTGACTACATTTGACTTCCCCGACATATTTCTAAGCAGTCCACCTTCTGTGAGGTGACCTTTTCAAGCTGTGCATGAAATCAAGTCTAATTATTCTGCTGTCTTTCTACCAATCTTAACAGCTGGTCTGTCAGTCATGATTATGTGAATTACTTCATTAAATTATCTCGGGATTTTTTCCAATGCTTCCTGAAAGCTCTTTTGAAGAAGATACCTTCGTGCTGAAATAATATAGCAGCTAAGCACATCTTTCTTATTATCCAAAACCAACTGAATTGTTTGACAAGAGCTGTAGCGAGAACCCCATGGCAGTAGAACGTCATGTCTAAGTGGATACCTTGCACTTTTGCTGCCAACAGATGTTTAGTTCAACTAACTAGTTCAACCAGTAGAGCAGTGGGAATACCGTTTTTCAATGTCAGTTATGAACACTATTGAAGAGGGAGATGATTCTGAGGACTTAGACACAGTTTCGAGAGGAAACATTTCATTACATAAAAGCTGTATATGTTTGTTAACTATTTTTAGCAGCACCATCATTGTGCTTAGTATTTAAACAAAATAAGTCTTTTTTTGCTTCTTGATCTATAAATACAAAATGTACCGAGTATTTAAATTTACTGTTTGCTTGTGTTTCGTTCTTACTGTATTTATATACTAAGCAAAAATGTACCTTTGCTTGTCCTTCTTATTTCCTACTGCTCTCAGCATGGGAAGGTTTCTTTCCATGAGAAGTAGAAGTCAGCTCCGCAGTTGCAGCAGCAAAGGGCCCATGTTGTTCCACGGAGAGGAAGAAACTGGAACTCGGTCCGTCCAGCGTCAGGGTGCTGTTGTTGAACCAGGAGCTGAAAGTTTCCAACCACTAAGGAGCTGTTTTGAACTGGGGGCTATCCTAGTTGTGGCGTCCTACGTAGCTGCCTATCACTTATCTTCAGAGCAGTTTTGCATATCTTTAATTGTTTTCTGTATAAACAGATGAGTCTCCTTCAGCAAGGGCTACATGCTTCTTGCCCTAAATCATTCCCTGTCAAAGCAGGTTTCTTACAGCTACGTTAAATAGTTCATTGTGTCAAACTCTGTCAAAGCAAAGCCTTTAAGTCTGATTGAACATTCGTACACTCCCATCAGCCTTTCATGGGTGCTGATACTAGCATATGTTATAGTGTATGGTTACATTAGTCAATGCCGGTTGGCTGCTTTGTTTACAGGACTTGGTGGATTTCTAGAACCAGTGCCGTTAGTCACTGATCCTGTCAGGTACAGAACAGAGCCTGGGAGCATGTGGGGCTTTAGCACCTTGAGGGCAATTCACCTCTACTTAAATTCATTGGACAATGATAGACTTATCTGTCATTGATCTACATGTAGATCTTTGCTCATTTCCAACATGAGCTGATTCTAGACTTTGAGTCATCTTCTCTTTATTCTTTCACCTTTTTTCATCACTGATAAAACTGATTTACCACTTAAGGCCTCGACAATTTAAGCATGTAGTAATCTGCTAATTTTACCGAATGGAATACCCTTCATGGCTAGTTACAGTGTTGTTTTAATGATCTTTGAAATAATATCCCTCAAAGTGTTTAAATTCTGTCCTTTTTCCTTTAAAACTGTCTCTATGGATACAACTTTTTTAGATATTTAGAAGAGCAAGGCCATAGTACTGTGCTGCAAGCTCCTGGATCTTGCAGTACTTTGTTCCACTGGAGACGAACTAAAGCAGCAGCAGTTTTGTTTAAACACTGTGAATTTATGATCTTGAGGCGTATCCTTAGCAATGGCATCATCCCATATAGGTGGCAAAGAGAGCAGTCTGTACGTATTAGAGCAGTTGGGTTACTTCTCTGATTTGGGAAGGCAAGCTTTTAATTGTTAACGTCCATATACTCTTCCAAATTTGTCTTCATACCTTTAGGAGCATGTTTCTGTTGTTGCTGTCATTATTATTATTAAAATGTTTTTATTACAAGGCAGAGTTATCCAATGGGCAAGGGGGCTTGATATTTATAAAATAAATATATCATGTCCATTTTCCACTTCCTTCAGGTTTCGCTACATGCTTCCCCTTTCTTTAAAACTTTGCATTTAAATACCTCTGGAATGTCAAATATTTAGCTCAGCCCAGGCAACTAGGGAATTGGATACTTTCCTTGTTTGCAAAAGCAGGTAACTGAGCAGCACTAAACCTATCATTAATGTGAACTGCCTACTTTCAGAATGCCATCCCTAAGTATTTAATGTATAGATTAGAAATTGAAAATAAACATAGGTGAGTCTTGGCAAGGTCATCTAGCCCATTTCCCTTCTCAAGGGTAAATTAGTGTTTGTGAGAAAATGCTGTTTATCTGTTTCTAAAACCCTCTCTTTAGAGACATTTTACGGTATTTCCAGGCACCTCTTCCAGCACTTAACTCTATTACCAGCAGAAAGTTATTACTGAATATAAATATCTCTTGCTGCAATTTAAAAGCGGTACTTTTGATCCACCCACAATGGAAATCCATTTCCTCTTTATAGCTCTTACATTTTTGAAGACAGTTAATACATTTCTTTCTATCTTCTCTGCAAGACTCTGTATGCTTCAACTTTTCCCTGATGACTGTACTTTATTTAGTCCTCTGATGATTTCCGCTATTTTCCTCCAGACTCCCTCTAGTTGGTCCACAGTATTATTGAATGAAGGAGCCCCAGACTGGGCACTGTGCTTCATCCACACCTTGATCAGTGGCAGAGTAGAAATGTAATTGCATGTGTCTAACAGTCATTGCTGTTGTTTATATGTAGTACTATGTAGTTTGGCTTTTTGCTTGCAGCAGGGTGTAGCTGACTACTAGGCTTCTCGTATCTTTTTCTCAGTGGTGCTGCCCAGTCAGTTGTCATATATTTGTACATTTGATTATTCCAAAGCACAAACATTTTACAGCCACTGTCACCAAACTGCTGTATCTAAAATCCAGTTCTTCCTGGGCTGTGTCTCTGATTTTCCCGTATTATTTTTGATTCTAATTGTGCCCTTCAGTATCCTTGCAGATTATCCCAGTGTCAGCAGATTTAATGAGCTGAAACACTTTTCTTTCACCCATTGGAAATATTAAAGAGTATTGGACTTGAGACAAATCCTCACTCGATATATTGTTCCTGTCTGAAAATGGTCACTACACACTGATTATCCAAGAGACTGTGCACATCATAGCAACTTCTCCTGGCCTACGTATTTTGCTTATGTCATGACACCGTGTCAAAAGCCATACTGAAAACAAAATGCAGAACGTCTTTGGCTTCTTTCTGTTCATAAGACCTGTTACTGCACTGGAAAATGAAATTGGAGTGATTTGACATCTTCTATTTTCAACGTACCCACACTGGCTGTCCCTTTTCTCCTTGCTACCTTCCAGATAGCTTCCTGTAATTTTGCTTGATTATTTCTTCCAATATTTTCCAATTATTTGAAGCTGATTTGCCTAGAATTTTACTATTTTACTTCTCTTTTTAAACTTGGGCACCAAGTCTTTTTTCTGATTTTACCAATTTTTCTTGCCATCTGCAGGTTTTCAAAGTCTGTAAATTTTGAGATTTGATAGTTGAAGTATTTCAAGATGAGCGTCATCAGACCAAGCTTATATAAAAATAGCAGTTATTTAAGTGCTCTCTAACATAGTGTTTCAATGTATTCTAACCAGCCTTCTCAACATTTTTTTCATGTGTGCCCGTCCTGCCTAATGAAACTGCCTGGACCGTGAGTCAAAACCATCATTCAACACTCAATCTTTTTCTTTTTTTTAATCCCTTTTCTTCTTTCCCCCTAAAGGCAAACCTGAAGTTTCCTGTGAGAACCTACAGCGTACTACAGTACCTTTATCACAGCCTGCCATATACATAGAAAACAAAGATCCAATCCCTGAAGAGCAGGTAAAAAAAAACATAGGACCATTTAAAGTAATAATGTGTCTTGTTCGCTGTATCCATTCCTTTTCCAGTTGCTTGTGCAGTGCCCTCCTTTTCTTGCCAATACGGATCAAGTAGGGAACCAATGCTGTTTCATAACTGGACTTAGAGAAAAAAATAATTTATATTCCTTTTGCTGTTCCATGGGGAGGTATTCCCCAGCCTGGAAAAAAGAGCATTAGCATTCACTTCTCATCTATATCATTAGAAATAAGTGACAAAAGGAGAGCAGCAACCCAAGTCAGAGTAATATAGAAAAAAAAGTGAATTGGTAAAAGGCGGTATATAAAATAGAGTCCTACTTGCATATTGTTAGATGAACTGACACAGCTGCGAAAGTGACAAGCTCCTGAACAAACCAGCCTGTCTTCAGTTTGAGTAATCTCTACATTTTTGGATGCCTGTGACACTGAGCAGTTTTGAGTTGTTTGGGGAACTCGTGTGTGATGGTTGGGCTGTCTTGAAGAGAGGCTGGCTTCCTCCATCCCAGAACTGAGTGGCAGATGCATTCTGAAAGCAGATTGAACACCCATGCTCAGCTCTGTCCCTCCCTTGTGTTCTTCCAAGCCTACTCCACATGTATTCTCTCTAGGGTTTTTTCTGTATCGAAGAGGTGGGACTCATAACTTTACTGGCTGTCTGTTAGAACATAAACGGAGCTCTGTTTTTTCATGCTTGTAAGCCAATATAGCTAAAATTGGAGTAGGAGTTTGCTATTCTCAACATCCTCTTAGTAAGGATTTACATAAGTTAAGTTAGATGCCTGACTGAGGAAGGGTTTCTTATGGTGTAAATTTAAAAAAAAAAAACAACCAAAAACCAAACAAAAAATCACCACAAAAAAACCCAAACCAAAACAAACAACAAAAAACCCCACCAAAAGCAGAAAAGAAACCCACAACCCACAGAACCCACATCAGCATTGCTTATTTCCACCTGTAATTATGGGGAAATGGACTGCCATTTTCAAGGTCTATCACTTGACCATACTTGTGTATGAAAGCAAATCTTAGGTGACTGCAGTAACGTTAACTTTCAGTAAGTGGACTTGCTCCAAAATGATACAAATACAGCAGATCCACTGGCTCTGCTCAAACAGGGCTCCATCCTGTTACTGTGGTTGGCTTGTGTTGAGATCACTTGATTGTACATCAGGTTGTAGGATAGGGCCTACACTGACAGTGAAGATCAAAATTTTTTCTTTCTTTCTTTCTTTAGGAATTGGAAGCATATGTTGATTATTCAGACACAGAGAATGAATACAAAAGGGAAGATTTTTACTGCTTTTCCCAGGAAGAAAGAGAGAGACAAGAACGAGAGAGACAGGAATCGAAGAGGGTGTTACAAGAATTGAAATCTGTACTGGGATTTAAAGCTTCAGAAATAGAAAGACAGAAATGGAAACAGCTGCTATTCAGCGACCATGGTAAGCCTTGCTTTTGAAAATGAATTCCTTTCTAAGAAAGGGTAGGTGTCTGTCTGCCATCAACTTCTGACTGTTAGAATTCGGACAGTGCTTAGCTATCGACATTTGATAGAGTTTGCTATTCCACCTCTTTATATTACTTGTGGCAATCATTTTATTGTATATTGAAAAGAACTCAGAGAAATGGGAATTTGACTCTAAACAAAATACTGACCTAAAATATGAAACATACAAAATATTAAGACAGCATAAAGAGAACTGTCAGGCTATAAAGCACGCAAGCTGAACTGAGTTTCTTTCATGGCTTTCCATAAATATGAATTTTAATCAGGGTGCATAAATAAATTACTTTTCAGAATTTAAAGAAACCATCAGAAATTATCGCAGACTTACAAAAATATATAGGTTAAAGTGAAGAGCTAGACTTTGAAATATTAAAGGCTCATAAAAGAGTAAGACTGGCTTTTCTTTCTATGAGAGAATGAGTATACAGAATATGTATTCAATATATTCAAAAAAAAAAAAAAAAACCCAACAAGAAGAGTTCTTCCAAACTAGCCTTTACTAACTCTGAGGACTGTTGGGAGTTCCATCCACTTGCACTTGAAGGCAGGAATATGAAACTTTCTCTTGCCTCAGACAGTTCTTTTCTGTCTCTGTTCCAGCAGTAAGACTGGATACAACTTGATTCTTTTCACTGCTTGAGCTGTTTGATTTATTATCTTTAAAATTGGCAGTAGTTTGTCTTTTCCTTTTTCCCCTTCTTTTTCCCATTTTCATTCCTTCCTCCTAAAGACAGGTTAGGAAAAGCCCTCTGAAAAATTTCATGTTCTGTGTTATGAAAAACAACCCTCAAGCCTGGCAACATTTCCAAGGATTCTGCCTCTGCCAGTGTCTACCAGAAAAAAAGACCGTGGATTGCACCTTTCAGTAATTCAGTGGGAACACACAGGAACATTCCATACCTATTTATGAGACTGTTTCTTTTGACATCAAACTCAGAAAAATATCTGTTCTTCACAACTTCGTTCTTTATGTCCATTTAGCTACAACTATGGTAAAAGAAATCACTTGGCCATTGGTATTGACTTCACTTCTAGCTGAGTTAACAAAACCTACATCATCAGATTGCATTAAGAGTCTGCTCCAGAGTAGGATTTCTGTGTTATCCTTCTGGTGTTAGATGTAACACCACCCAAGTCTTCACATAAATCTCTTCAAGTCTTCCTTTCCTCCCTGTTGAAGGGAAAAGGAAGAAATCCTACCTCCAGTTCAAGTCTTGAGAGATCTAGTGACTGCTGCAGAAAGAGTTGTTGTCAGGAGAGCTTGCATAGGCTGTTCCCTTACCTATGTTAGCAGCTGCTACCTGTCCACATCATACCTATCCTCAGGCCTTTGGTGGCCATAGCTGGAAAGAGTCAGCTGACTCCTGTAGTCTTCAGTAACTGTTCACCCAAAAGCCTTTGTGGCTCATGTTCGTTCCTTTCCTTTCCATGTATAGATATTACGTTGTTTTAGGGTTAGAGATTCAATGGTGGGGAGGGAGGAAGGTGTGATTTCCTCCAGCTGCCTAGGACTAATCACTGATTACTTCCATCCTGTACAAAACTGGAAAACATGAGGGCGGTTCATGAAAGTAACTAATATTGTCTCCTTTTGGCTCAGGCACTGTGCGTGTCTGATCTGAAAGGCTGATGTGGACAGCAGATGTACTATCATCTACTGGTTTTGAGGAATTTCTTCATTATTTCTTCAAAAGAAACACAAGTCAGTTAAACACGACATAATGGATCTTGGCATATTACTGCTGCAGTCTTTAATTTATCCATACGCATGAGTCATTCCTTAAAGAAACATTTCTGTGAGCTGTGCTTTCCACGTTTGTGGCTTGCTTTATCTTGAAGATTTAAACCCAGAAAGGTTCATGTTCTTTGGATGGCCATGATATCACACTTTTCCATATCCCTCTCAAGTCTTGCTTTTACAGGACAATCGTATTCCAGAAATCCTGTATTCTCCTAACTTGTGATTATTGTGAAAAAAGATCCTGAAATATTCAAAGGCTTTAATCTGTTAGTCAAGGCACCCAGCAAGCCATTCTGATTTGGTAGGGGGGTTGGTTCGTTGAAGGAGAAGCTGGTGAGGGTTTCCACATAAAAGCGATCAGCTCCAAACAAGTTGGTCTATCTGAGCAACACAGCAAGAAGTCAACTGGAGATGATATGTTGGATTCCCGAAGAAAAACATCATCTTAGCAGAGCACCAGACTAAAGCAAATTTGCCCAGGCCCAGCACCGCGGTGATACTGCTTACAGTCTGGGCAGTAGGTAATTTATGGGAGAGTAGATGAGCTTACATTTTTGGTCCTGTTGAGGCAGTAAAAGGGAAGTGTTTGTGAAAATGTCTGTGAAGTTGTTAGTGGCTTCATTTTCATTTGTCAGACATTGTAAAACAACTTTCTTCTGGTGCGAAATCACTTCTAGCCTTTCCCCTAACCTCCCCCCCAAAAAAATCTCATTCTGTCAGTGGTTACTTTGTACCCAGCTGTTTCCCCTTCTCTCACCTTGTCCATACAACAGTTCTTATACAGCTGTTTCTCAGATTTGGAAAGTTACGCTGTGAGACTTGATGAATTCCACCTTGCTTGTTAACTGATCAACTCAGCAAACTGGCCAGCTACCAATCTGAAGTATCTATTTATTTTTTGAGAAATTTTGGCTTTGGAAGTATTCTTTGGAGGAAGTAGGCAATAAGTTTGCTCTAAATTGATAAGATTACTGTGCATATTCCTGCCTTTTCAAGCAAATGGGCAGAAATAAGCAGCAACGTGTTTTTTACAAGATGGGGGAAGAACTACCCCATTAACAACTGAGATGAGGTCCGGTGCAGTGCTCCTTTGGTATATAAGGTTTTAAAACAAACGATACAATACAAATTCAAAGCCACAGTCTTTCAGTGTGCTAATGATAATAATTATCAATGTGACAGTCATAATGACGCGCCTGCCTTCAGCTAGCTAAAGTAAATATTACTGAAATAGGATGCGATGGAAAAATCCTAATACCGTAAATTGTGTTTCCCGTGAAAAGTTTGTGTATTTCCCAGAGTTATTTTCATCTCTGCTTACAGGGGTAAAGTCAGAATGGAATTAGAAAGGGAAATGCTACTTGGGAATCTGCTGTTGCCGCTCTCATTTATGTTCGTGCTGCTACTCTAATGGAGCTACTGCAGTTTAGGGAATCTGTTACTTGGAAATGGACATTATATCGTTTTCTTAAAAAGAAAGACGTCTGTTCTTCGAGAAGTGATTGTACCGAGTTATACTAACCCTTAACACTGGGAGGAGAGACTTCCTGGCAAGCATCCCGTTGCTGGCAATGGGACTCGCTGCTGCTACTAACTTCAAGAGAGGCTAAATTAAACCACACTTTATTTGTGAGGACACCTTACCTGACTGTATGAATACGTGTTGTATTTGTATGTTGTGGTGTATGAGATCAGATACTGCCTATAAGGACTTTTTCATGTACCAGCTGTCTACTGGATTAGGATTGTTGTTTAAAACGAAGACAGTTCAAATCTGTATATACAATGCAGTAGCTTTACTTGTTTTTTACTTTAACATTGAATGCATCACCTGTGATTGATGCCAGTTTTAAACATCATCAGTATCGTGCTGTCTCTTTACGTCACAGATTTTAAGGAGTAGTTACAACAAGTAGCTATCACGTTTCACTTCAGCTTTGTGATTAGAAACCACTGTTTTATTTTAAGTTTTGATTGTGGTCTTTGTTTGTGTTGTTTTGGAGGGGTTTTTTTAAGCCATTTTGACCCTTACAATCTCGCATCTTTTCAGACACAAATAAATTATTTCTGTATAGCAGCTTGCTTTTAGTTATCATTTAATTTTTTTCCCCCTTTTTAAGCTGCAGTGAAACCCTTGTCTCCTGTAGAACCACTGAAGCTACTAAATAATTTGGAATCACATATGAATTCAGATACAGAAAAGCAGGACTGCAGCCAAAGTTGTGATAAACCTGAAGAAAAAGGCTCTAATCCAAAAGTGAATGCTGCTGATAAAAGCAGGACAGAATATTTGTATGAAGATCCTGAGATGGAGAAAAACAAAGACAGTACTACTGGTGAAGGTATTTCTACAGGGGCTGAAGAAAGAATGTGTTACCAGCATGAAGGGAAAGTTGAAGAACTCAAGCCGAGTGATATGGATGGAGTAGAGGTTACACAGTCTCCCTCTAAGGATGCGTTACATTCAAAAATCAAGCATAGGCTGGCCCAGCTCCACATATCAACAGATTTAAATTTCACATCTGGTCTGGCTGCACAAGTTGCTGCCAGGTCTTTTGCTTTTACTACAATGCAGGAAGAGACTTTTGGAGATGAGGAGGAGGAGGAGGAGGAGGAAGAGAAGGCACAGGAGTGTGAAGACCTTGTTGAGGACTGTGAGAATGAAGACAGAGGCTCTGAAAGTGAAGGAAAAGTATAAGTCTGAGCTGAACTTTGTTAAACCAACAGCAGGCAATTTGATGGAAAAAACTAAGGTGGGGGTTTGAAGATGAAAATAGTGGATGGAAAAAAAGGAGACCTAAACATAATACATCTTGTTCCCTAAGTCTGATACACTAAATAGGACTTCTAAGTATATTGAAAATTTGCAGGTAAGAGAAGTTTAGGCTGCATCCAAGAAATAGCTGGCTGTTGCCTTTTTAAGATCCTAGTGGTGGGGTTTGGAATTTACCTTTGTGTTTTCTGTTTTATTTATTTATATTATAAAGTATTGTGGTGGGATTTTTTTTTCTAAAAAGAAGGAAAAACAGTGTCTTGAATTTCAACAGACTCTTTTCTTTTTCTCTCTGATTCTGTTGTCATGGTATCAATGTCTGTTTTGATGAAAAAGCCAGGACATTTCTTTTGGAAGAACCTGAACTGTTCCCTGTGATCTTCCCCCACCACTTTCATTTCACTTCTTGTGTCTGCAGTGTGTTGGCTAAGCCACCGTAGGCATTTGTGATTCTGTGGCTAGTGATGTGGCTCCCAACTAAAATGTAGAATTTTAAATAAAAACTTGAAAGAGCTAGTATTTGATGTGTCCTGGGGTATGGGGCTGAAATAGTACGAAGTTAGTCGTGCTTCATATTAAGGTTTATGTAGAATTTTATGAAGGGTTAATAAATGATTTCTAGATGTTGTAATTCCTGTTAGAGAAATGTGTAGTATATGTTAGGGAGGGCTATAAGCACATCAGTAGGAAGTACTATAGACAGCTAGAAGCTATCTGTTGGATTGGTAATAGATGAGAAGTAAATACCTATTTATTAAAACAGCTATTAATTATTTGTTAACCTTTTGTAAATTGAACCTTAATATAATTGTTTGATTTCATATAATGATTGATTGTACATTTTTATGTCCTGAAGTCATTTTCTTAAAGCAAAATTATCGGAGTGCTTACCAACATACAGTATTTTGTTTAAACAGCATACTTGCTTTTCCCTAATGTTCTTTCATTTTTCCTTAGATCACAACTATAACCTGTGTGATTAAGAATCCGTGAGAGAACAAGAATTGTGTATTTTCTAAGGTGTATCTTGTAACTTAGTTGACACTGAAGTCTGGATGTTTGGTATGAGGTTACGTGGGCTGGTTTTTCTCTGTGGTGGTGGTATGAGGAGCAGCACACTGACACTCACCTCACAGAGGAGCTGGTTAATGGTTTCACTGCCTTCTCTCCCTTTTGCCCTCTGACACAAAATGAAGCAAAGGTCTCACATCACTAATAGCGAGAGCGCATCTCTTTGTGTGGAATACTCTGCTTGGACTGGGATACATTTCCAGTCACAAAACACCTCATCAGTTACTTAGGGCATTTGTTGTCTCTTGCTGATTCTATAGAATAAAGGGGGTTTTAGATGCAAGTTGGTTTGGAGCAGTATCTTTCCTAGGATGCTGTTATGGGAAGTGGGGAAGCCAACGAAGGTCAGCAGGTTAGGGTGGAACTCTTGACCATATGTCAGGAAACAAGTGCTTTCTTTCAACCTCCCTCTCTTCTATTAGTGTTTTTGTATGAACGCTGTTAAATATCACAGACCGTAGAGAGGTAAATATCAATTGATAGAGAAGGGAGTATGTGACTTACACTGTTCTTTCACAATGTAATGCCTGTCTTCTCCCTCACACACAGGTTTTGGGAAGAGAATGTCATTAACCAGTAACACTGTGTTCTGTGCCCTTAATTTTGTGTAAGTGACTGGAAGCTGAATGGGTGATGTCTTGGGAAACTTGTAAAAGAAAAAAAAAAAAGATGCTTCTCAGTGTATTCAGAAGCTAAGCCTCCTCTTAGTGATAGAGTATATTCTTCTGTAACCTGTAAAGGTTAGGCTGAGATGATGAAACACTGTTTTATTTTCTCTGTGGTAAGCAATTTTCTTTTTTATCAAGTCTAGAACAACTGCTTTGGATAAATCGTGTTCTGCAAAAGAAGTCTTCCTCATCCTTGACTTGAGATCCTTGAGTTCACAAAGTGCCCAGATATTTTTTGTTCCTAGCTAATTGTCCTGACTGCCTAAATGTATGTTCCATTAACTCATCCACCAGCATTTCATGATCTGATGTTATGTATCCCAGAAATGATACTCCTGGACTTTTCCCATGGGATCCAAATCTTAGTTTACAGTGTGTATGGCTGTGATACCCACCTGGAAAAATGATAGGATTTAGGATATGAATTATCTCTGTCCTCACAGTTTTGGATGAAGTCAGTAGTAGCCTGAGTGATTTGCATTGCTACTAAAATGGGTTTCAGATCTCACATTTATACAAGTTGCTAGCTCTTTATTCCTTTGCTGCAGTCCTTAGCAAAAGACCTGGAGAATCTACTTTGGTGGCTCCCTTGGGACCTAGTTTTATAATACACTGGTCTTGGAGATGAAACTGGCCCAAGAATCCCCATCCATCATTAGTTGTTCATTTTCACCCACTAGCTGGGTCAACACAGGTTTTTGTGGCCAAGTTATAAAACAGCTCATGAGTCCACCTGGGTCAAAAATCCACCCTTTTTTGGGGTTACTTTTCACCCTTCTTATTGCAGTGATGTGGTTTACAACATTTCCCACCAAACAGCTGTATCAGCACATACTGTGATGCTGGTGTGAGACTCGGGATCGCTCACTTTTACACTACTGGCAAAGATGGTGTAGTGTGAAGTTACAGCCTTGACATTAGACATGGCTATGATCAAAGGATGACTTTTTGGAGCAAGTCTGATCCTACTTTGAACAAATAGATTTTCTACAAGCAATTTAACTGATTTCCATGGTCTTGCTTAATGCAGTCTTAGAAGCTGCACATATGAACACCTGGGCTCACTTGCTTTCCCTGCCTCTCATGACATCTATACATAACAGCCATCAGGTCATTTATTTTGATTTATTTAATATTCTCCCTGCAGAAAAATATGGCTAACAGTGTACAGCACACAAAGCGTGGCTTCCCTTGATTTATAACCAGGTTCCATCTACATATGAATAGTCTGTTGTAATGCAGAATTCCTCATAATTATGTCATTTGAAACGACTGTGTGTACATGCTGTAGATTCCTTCAAGACCCCAACAGATTTTGTGGCAATCATAATTTATTGTTTCATTTAAAATAATACATAAGAACACACTGAAGTGTGCATTAGCACTGAAGAGTTGCGTTATCATATTGAGTGTGTTGAGGTCCGAGTGCTCTCCTGTGTTCTTTGGCCCATTACCCTAGATAGGGATTTTTGTGAAAACAGAACTTGTGCTGCTTAGAGCTTTGTAACTTTTTGAAACATGTTAATCAGGAAATCCATACTAAATAATGGGTTATGCCAAAGGACATGAGCAGCCAAAATTCTTTGTGAAGAGCAGAGCTAACAATAAATGCATTTTCCCTATTCCATTTACAATTAGCAGCTCTGTGAAGTGGTAAAGAAGGAAGTAATTATAAAGGGTTAAATAATCTCTTCTCCGCCTGTCCTACCTGGAAGGCACTCCAAAGATGGTATTTGCTTCTTAGGTTGGATTGCAGTCTAGCACTACTACATCCTTTATGTCACTTAACTTCACAGCTAAAGATCTAGGTAAAGGCTTAAATGGGGGCAAAGATCTGTGGTACGATTACTTGTCCCTTTTTTTAAGTGTGAATCTTCAGGACAGAAATGAAACAGTGATGTAATGGAAGCAAATTTTGAGAATTACAGCTAATTGAGCGTCTTTCAAATGGAGTCAAACATCCCTCTGTCAACTGTAAGGAAGATCTGCAAACGCGAAGGCTTCTGCTATCAGTTGCAGTAATGAGACAGTTTTACTCCTGACAGAGGATTACTAGACATCACTGAATCACTAAATCATCACTAAATACAAGAGGGAACCTGGCAGAGTAGCCATTTGTACTGAGGTTTCAGACTTGTCCTGAGCACACCTGTCTGTGCGTGACCTGACTGTTACCTGTATCGGAAATTTTATGTGTATCTGGAAGGCAGAATTTGCAACCGTCTTATTAATTTCTTTGGTAGTAAAAAAAAAACATCTAAACGGCAGGCTGTGTAGAGTTGTTGTCTCACACTGAACTTTGTAACCTTGTACTTTATCCCTTTTTAATTTTGGGGTTTGTTTAAACAAACAAATGGTCAAGTATACTAAACTGCTCTTGTTCTTTACAGTGTTTAGTGAAGGGCTGCTGTTGCTCTGCAAATGGCTTGTTCCCAGGGCTCATTACTCTTTAGAATTAACAGGTTTTCGTACTGTCTTATCTGAAAAGGTGGGCAGAGTGTGAGAAAGGCACCTGGTCAGTGTGAAGGGTCAGGCTCCTCTGGGATCTTGTCTGTGGCAGGGACCAACGGCAGATGCCGAGGGAAGAGTATGAGAAAAGGGAGATCATGTACTGATGTTTCCCGAGGCCACTCCCCAACCATTTGTGGCTCAGAGACTTCTTGAGCCAGTGGTGGGGGCCGTCAGTTTAACAGGTCCCGATGGAATTCTCATCCGTAAATTTATTTAGTCTCATGTTTGGTCAATTATTACTAGTCCCAATGCCAGTATGTGCTCACCTTTATTACAGTCTTTTACAAATGAGAAGATTTGTCAATAGTGGTTTTTTTGCTTTGCTTTTTTAAACTGAGCAAGCCCACTTCTCTCAGTCCTTCTGCAGAGGTCATGTTTTCCACCTTCTGCTTGCTTCTCTTAGAAATCTGTCCAGTTTTTGCAGTACAATGACCAAAGTGTGGTGCAGATGCTCCAGATGGAACCTCAGCAGTGCTGAGTGTGGACTAATAATCACCTCCCATAAAACACTGAACCATTCAAATATATTTGAGTCGTTATAGGAAAAGAAAAATTTCATATCTTTTACCCCTAGCTATTAGGGTGACAAATGAAAATATTTGATCTAATGAAGGAGAAATATTTATTCCCTGTCAGCAGGATTTGGCTGGACAATGTTTTTCTTTGCTAACAAAA